AAGCTATGTATTGATATATTATATAATTATATATAAAATAATAATCAATATACAATTATATATTCCTTATAATTAATGAATATCAAAGTTTTAAACAATATTTAAATCAATCTTAATTTTTAATTCAACTTTTTGAAAATTTAATTTAAGCTTAATAAATATTTTATAATAATAGGATTTGTAGCCTGAGCACTGAATGCCCATACAGTTGGCCATGTCAGTAACACTCCAAGATGTTACATCTAGACCTTAATATATACAAATTTAATAGTATGAATTTTTTAATGTTTATTTATTGGGGGGAGGGGCAGAGAAAGATGGATAGAGAGAATCCCAAACAGGCAGCACTCTCTCAGCGTAGAGCCTAACATGGGGCTCGATTTCACGACTGTGGGGTCATGACCTGAGCCAGTATCAAGACTCAGACACTCAACTGACTAAGCCATCCAGGTGCTCCAGATAGTATGAATTTTTAGTATTGCAAAACACTACTTATCCACCATATATAACTGTTGTAAAAACTGTATTAATTCTCAGTACCTGCAGAACCACAAACTGGAACATGAAAAGCAGCCAAAAAAAATGTGTGGAAATAGTTAAAAAATGTATACTTTATTACTTTATTATGCAGAACCTATTGCCTTCATGCTACCTAAAAGGAAGGACTTGACATGCTAACTTGTCTTTCCTCTTACCTAAGTGCTTCCACTGCTCCAGTTCTCCCCAATCTTTTTCTAATGACAACAGCTACACACCCACACACCTGAATGAGTTGCCTTGTGTTTCAGTGACATAGAGCAAGAGACATGGGGGCATGTGGTGGTGGGGCCTGAGTGGTGTTATCTATGAAAGTGAATGTTCAGGGTTCCAGGTCATGATGCTCCAGCAATAATAGCTGTATCTCAAGTGACAGTGGTCCCTGTATATTATATACATTTTATTGTGTGTGTATGTGCTTATGATACACCTATCCCTCTAAAATTGGGATAGGTTTCTCTCTTGCCCAGGGTAAGTTCTAGAATATAACTCTCAGAATTCTGTTTCTTTTCCCTGAATCTAAATCCCACCTGGCCTCCCAAGGTGAAGGCTGCATCCTATCTCCCCACCTCCAGGGAGAGAAGGCCAGCTTTGAATAGTCTGCCTTGGAGCTACTGTTTGGACCTTCACCTCTGACCTCTCTGATGCTGACCACGCCTCCTCCTACCTTCCCATCACCTTCGGGCCTCTCTGAGGCCACTTTTACCTTCCTCTGGAATCATCTGACCTGGATGGTCCTAGACCCTCCTGTCACTCCACTTGCCAGGGCCCCCAGATCTCTTGCCACATATCAACCACAAAGTGGACCCTCCTCAGTTTGCTAAGGCCTGTTAGCTGACAGTCCAGCTCTGGTTAAGCTGGATGCTTGAACAACGTCTTTGCTTTCACAACCTCTCCATGGCACGCTTTTCCCCCTCATCGGTTAGGTCAAGTTCCAGACTAGCCTTGCTGGCCCATTACAGAAAATGCCAGAGGGATCCCAGTCTCACATCCCCGACTGAGTGCAGTTCCTTCCCGTATTAAAATGAAGGTTGTGGGGCGCCTGGGTGGCTCACTTGGTTGAGTATCCAACTCCTGATTTCAGCTCAGGTAAAGATTCCAGTGTTGTTGGATCCAGCCTGGCATCGGGCCCCACGCTATGGAGCCTACTTAAGATTCTCTCTCTTTCTCTCTCTCTCTCTCTCCTTCTTGCCCCTATCCCCCACTCATGTGCTCTCTCTCTCCAATTAAAAAAAAAAAAAAGTTTGTGAATGGTGAAGTCCAGGCTGCAACATGGGGGATGGGGGGTGGTGTTTGTTTGGCTAGCAGAGTTTTTTAAAAAAAAATTTTTAATGTCTTAATTTTATTTTTGAGAGAGGGACAGACAGACACAGTGTGAGCGGGGGAGGGACAGAGAAAGAGGGAGACACAGAATCTGAAGCAGGCTCCAGGCTCTGATCTGTCAGCACAGAGCCTGAGGTGGGGCTCGAACTCACGAACACTGAGATACCACCTGAGCTGAAGTCAGTTGAAACAAACTTTTAAAAACAACTAGACAGGGGTTTCTGGGTGGCTTAGTTGGTTAAACGTCCGACTTCAGCTCAGGTCATGATCTCACAGTTCATGGGTTCGAGCCCTGTGTAAGGCTCTGTGCTGACAGCTAGCTCAGAGCCTGAAGCCTGTTTGGGATTCTGTGTCTCCCTCTCTCTCTGACCCTCCCCTGTTCACACTGGCTCTATCTCTCAGAAATAAAAAGTTAAAATAACATTAAGAAAATTTTTTAAAAACTTTGTTTCTGAATGTCTTAAAACAGGGCTTGTACAGTTCTCCCAATTTCTTACACTCAGCCTAATTCACACATTGATATTACCAGCCTAGTCCTGTGTGTAAACAATAAAGAATTGTTTGTAGAGCCAGATAGAAGTGGATTTGAATCTCTTCTTCGTTTCTTACCAGCTGTGTACTCTCGGGTGAGTCATACATCCTTTTAGAGCTAGTTTTCTCATCTTTCAAAGGGGTACCAAGACAAACCTAGCAGGTTGTGATGGAGACCAAAAGAAAATGTGCTCAGTATAGTGTTTGCACACACCAGATGCTCAGCCGTTGGTAGTCTGCCCCCCTCATTCAGGCTCCTTGGTTCTCGAGCTACATTCTCAAATTGCCCAGGTTTGGGGTTTCTCAGTCCAAACACTTTATAACCTGGTTCTGAACCCTTTCCTTCCTCCTTTTGGATTAAGCAATTAAGGACTCAGGGGATAGCCTGCAGCCAGGAACCTAAGTCAACTAAATCCAATAAATGACTTCTTCTATTATGTAGAAATCATGGGTGCTCGTAGGTACTAATTGGCTGTCTTCTCTACTTTCCTTTACAGCGTTTAAGTAGTTCCTTAACACAATTTTATTTTGGAGCTTCCTAATTATATTACTCTAGGCACCTATTGTCAATGAGCTTGCCAGTGGGGAAAAAAAATGGAGTTATTTATTCATTCTTATATTCCACAAGCACTTATGGGGTAACTCCGATGATCTCAGCATGGCAGAGCATGCCAAAGTACAAGGTGCAGTCTCTGCTCTTGAGGAACCTAAGGACTCACTGGTGAGGAAAGACAAGTATATGGGAAATAATTATATCAAAACTATATGAATTAGGTGACAGGTACCTACCGGGAATGAGGTTGGGGGTAGGGAGAACTCAATAATAGTAATATATCTATGGTTACATTTTAACTATTTTTATATAAAGAAATAAAGCAGAGGTGCCTGCATGGTTCAGTTGGTTAAGAATCCAACTTCAGCTCGGGTCATAATCTGGCACTTCATAAGTTCAAGCCCTGCGTCTGGCTCTGTGCTGATAGCATAGAGCCTAGATCCTGCTCCAGATTCTGTACATCCCTCTCTCTCTGCCCCTCCCCTGTGTTCTCTCACTGTCTCTCAAAAACGAATAAACATTTAAAAAATTTAGAAACAAAAAGGAAGACAGAAGACAGATAGAAGGTGTGCCCTGGACCAGGGAAATAGCTATTGGCAAAGGAACTGAGCCAGTGAGGGGCCTGACCCAGTTGGAATGAAAGACACAGGCAGATGAGTGGTTTCATTTCCATAGACACCATCAGGCTCTAAATGATGGCTATAATGCCCCTAAATGTTTTTCCTTCCCCTGGTCCTTCTCCTAATTGGGGAAATCTGTCATACTCTAGTGACAAAATATCCTAAGTACCATGTGAAAAAAATCACTCTCCCACTCAAAACCTTTCAATGGCTCTCTACTACTTGCCAAATCCTACTGCTGCTCACTGAATCCTACACTCCTCCCAGCCTCCATGTCCTTGTAGAACAGATAGAGTCTCAAGGGTTGGATGAAACACAGTTGGATAAAGGAAGGTGGCAAACTGAATTTGAATGCTAGTTCTAGGATTGGCTAGCTATTATAGATCCTTAAAGAACAGAATTCAGTTTCCTTGTGCTTCAAATTCATACCTTATAGGGTTGTTGAAAAGATCACACATTTAAATACAATTAAAAGGCTTAGAATACTGCTTACACGTAGTAAATACTCAATGACTGTTGCCTATTAGTAGAGCAATAGAAGTGTTGATTAATGAAGCAAGTGAACCTAGAGAGGTCTCTACTCCCAACCTTCACAGGTTACCTGATGGCCCAATGAAGACATGGAAGCCATACTTATCTGTGGATAGTTTAAAGTGAAGAGGGATGGTAAATATTTTGAGTGATGGACTCATATCCCAAAATCATGCTAACAAGCAACTGAAATGGATGGTATACGGAAAAGATAGAAACACAGCCCAGTTTTTGATGTGCTAATAAACCAGCTCTGTGGAAGAAAAAAATGCCCTGGTTTGTAGCTTTTGCTGATTTCCATGGCATGAATATTCCTTCCACAGCCAATGTCAGGCTACTGACATGGTGTCACTGTACTCCGAACTGGGAAGAGATACTCATATTGGCTCTCATGACCAGTGGAGCTGGTTCTAGTACACCACTGAAAACAAAAATTTCTAAACCAGAGTTAAAAAAAAAAAAAGTTTAAGAAGAGATGTGGCATAGTTCCTTACTCTAAAGCATTTCCACTGACAGACTGAATTCAATGTGTGAGAGAAGCAGGGCATTAAAAAATGCCTTAAGAGCTTGGGCTTTGTAGTCAGAGAGCCATGGGTTCAAATCCCACCTCTCCTGCTTGTTAGTTGCATGATCCTTGACAAGTCACTAAGCCTCTTTAATTCTAGTTTCCTCATCTATGAAGTGGTGATGATGATGATAGCAATGTCTACTTCATAAATGTACTCAGAGTTACGTGAGAAGTGTCATTAAGAAAGAGCTTAGCAATAAGAAAAGGTCAAGAGATCAAAGGGGGGAAATGGGTAAGATACGTGTATAAAGAAACTTTGTACAACAAATCATCCAAATATTTATTGATTTAAAACAGCATAGACTTTCTCACAGTTGGCAATCCAGGCTGGGTTTAAAGGGAAGGCTCTCTTCTTCACTGAGGGGTTAGCTGGGCTCACTCGTGTTTGCAGTCAGCTGATGATCCACGGCCTCACTCATGTGTGGCAGTTGGCAGGACTAATGGAGGCTAATGGGCTACAAGTCTGTCATCATTGGACTGGGTAGTCTGGGCGCCTCCACATGGCCGTAGTTGCAGGGTTCCCAAGAACAGCGAGAGAAATCAAGCACTACTCTTGGGTCTTTCCAAGACTCACGCCTTCTCGTGTCGTTGGCCAAAGCAAGTAACATGTCTCAGCTCCAAGTCAGTATGGTGGGAAGGCCTCAAGGATCTGGACTTGGAGAGGGAATTTATTATGGTTACTTTTTAAAGTAAGAAAAGACAATTGATAAAAGAGAAAATCTGAATGGCAAATAAATGCATAAGTTGGCCAACCTCACTAGTAATGAGAAAAATGCAAATTAAAATGAGATATCATTTCATATTTATCAGGTTGATAATTTTTAAAAGTCTGGTAAAACTAAGGGATGATATGAAAATGGAGAAATGAGAAACCCCATACACAGCTGCTGGGGAGTGGACATATTATGACACACTCGGAGAAGACAGTAATTAAAATGAATAGATTCAGTTTCTATGAATCAATATTGAAGACCCAATTCTGAGTTATAGAATCATCAGATAATAAGACTTGATACATTATAGATGGACACTTAATTTTTATAGATATGTACATATATAACAAAATGCAAAACATGGATGGGAAAGATTCACACCAATTTTGGAATAATATTTATCTCTTGGGATAAAGAGATGAAGAGCATGGGGCGCCTGGGTGGCTTAGTCGGTTAAGCGTCCAACTTTCGCTTAGGTCATGATCTCGCGGTTCGTGGGTTTGAGCCCCGCGTCGGGCTCTGTGCTGACTGCCAGCTCAGAGCCTGGAGCCTGTTTCAGAGTCTGTGTCTCCCTCTCTCTCTGACCCTCCCCTGCTCACACTGTCTCTCTCTCTCTCTCCTAGAAATAAATAAAACATTAAAAAAAAGAGAGAGATGAAGAGCAAAGAATGAAAAATAAAGGAAGCTTTGAATTTATTTGTGCATTTTATTTCTCAAAAAAAAGTGGAGTCACTGGACAAAATAGATGTTTATTGTATTCAAGGAATTGGTCCACAAGCATTTATGTTTGAAATATTCAAAATACTGTATCTTTGAAATATTCCATAATTAAAGCAACATTTAAAGAAAGAGTATCTGACAATTCCTTTAAACTAAGGAGAAAAGGTTGGGGAACAAGAGGACTAAGTTATATAACTGATTAATTAAAAAATATTTTTAATGTTTATTTATTTTGAGACAGCAAGAGCAAGTAGGGGAGGGGCAGAGAGAGAGAGAAAGAGAATCCCAAGCATGCTCCACACTGTCAGTGCAGAGCCCAATGTGGGGCTCAATCCCATGAACCATGAGATCATGTCCTGAGCTGAAATCAAAAGTCAGATGCTCAACCAACTGAGCCACCCAAGCACCCCTAAGTTATACAACTGATTAATTTAACTGCCCCCAAAAATGTAATTTTTGTAGGGAGGGGCAACCTAGTGTGGGTTGAGTGGATCAGGTAGAAGCCAGCAGCACATGCACTGGAAGACTTCATCTGAGGCAGAACAAGGGAGATAGAAGTTTATTGGATACACCACAAGGGGGCGTCAGGCAGGACAGCAAAGGAGAGACTGGCGAGGCGTTGGTGGGGGCTGTAGTTAAGGGGGATGGTGAGGAGATGTGGGAACATGTGGAGTTTTTCTGTTCAGTACCTGTGTCCGGGTGTAACCCATTGGTCAGCTAGGGCAGGCATATGGATACGTTGAGGTGGGTCACCTAATGGAACTTTTTGCATTCAGCCTGGAGTGGGGTGGGGATTAGGGGATCATTGTGGGCCCTCCTATATTACTCAGGTTGCCATTGTTCAAGGTGGCACTTGTATTTTAGGTCACATTCACGGAAGTATAGAACGCAGAAAGAACGTGTCTACAATCCGGCTGTGCTCTGCAGTGGTGAGACTACACCAGAGCACATTTTGAAAAGGGCGCACGCTAATGTGAATGTGACCATTTGTTCAGTCAGCCACACCCCTGGAGCATCTACCTGGCTGTCACTACCAGTTACGGAAGACCCTGCAGAGCACAGAAAACCTGAGGCCCTGTTCTCAGAGCTTAGCTTCTATCCCAGTCAATGCACACAGCAAACTTAAGAGCACATAGTATATGTGGGGTCAGGAATGGGAGCCTAGAGAGTTGACGGCAAGGGGGCTGATGAAAAGCCGTGCCCAAACCAAGTTGTGTGCAGAATGCTGGCAAGGTTGCCATCCACCTCTCTCTCCTGCACTGGCTCTGAATCTATAGGGAAACTTGAAGCTTTAGATGGAACAGCTCTGGGTACCTTCCTCCACAGACACACTCAGCATAGACAAGGACAAACCAGCCTCTGTGCCCAGAGGCCTTGCCAGAGCTTTCACCAAAGCCCAGCATTAGCACTTCCATGAGACCTTTACCCCCAAGTGCAGTGGAAGATGAGAGCCCTTTGATCCATCCATCAGCTCCTCGGTGGCTTTATCCCCTCTAGGCTGAAATGCAAAAAGAGTTATTTTTGCTGTACTGTCTTTTTATTTCTTTTCAACCTCTTATTTCCTATTCTGTAATTATTGCCAAGGAATGTTCGCAGAAAACATGCTAGATTTCTGACAGTCTGTCATGTGGGAGAGAGATGAGCTCTTCCTGTGGGCTGCCCAGAGATTGCAGTCTGACTGGGGAAGGTGCAGGGAGACGGGTTTCTGGCCACTGTAAGGGAGATGTCTAGGGCCGCTGGACCCAGAGCAGTGGCCGGCTGCCTCCCCTGGGCATCACCCAGAGACCACACAAGAACATTGAAAAGGAAATCGTTGGCCCTACAAATTCTATATAATGTCTTCATTTTTTATGATCCCAGAATAATCGTTGCAAATCATTAAAAAATTCTAGAAATGTTTAAGAAGACATGATAGCCCTATAATCTCCTCTTTTAGAGAAAAATCACTAACACTTTGATAGGAATCGTTTCAAAATTTTGTTAGATATACAAACTTTCAGACATGAAAAGGGAAGAGTGCTACGTGTAGATTGAATTGCAATGTACCCCCGCCCCCTTGGGTTATATCTCGGAAGACTTTGCCATGTTTGGATGTGCAAGACTGGCTCATTCCCTTTATGGGTTGCATTATACCCACCTTTGCAAATATGCATTGAATGCAAACACCCACTTAAGGTCAGGCACTGCTCTAGGCGCTATGAACACAACAGTACACAAAACAAAGGTTTTGTCCCTCATGAGGCTTTATGTCCTAGTAGAGAAAAAAAACATACAAGCAAATGAATAACATATAAAACGTCCAAAAGACACATGCCATGAGGAAAATCAATGGGGGTTAAGGCAACATTGGGCAACAAAGGACACTGATGGTTTAGATTGCATAGTCATGGAAGACTTTTCTGAGGGGCTCTGTATCAGTTGTCTAATCTCTGTGTAATACGTTCGTCTAAAACTTTGTGGCTTAAGCAGCAATATTTATTAACTCAGTTTCTACAGGACAGGTGTTCCGAAGCAGCTTAGCTGCTCTGGGTGTCTCACAGGCTGCAGTCAAGGTGTCAGCCAAGTCTTTAGTCACCTGAAGACTCAAACAGGGAAGGATCTGCTTCTAAACTCACATGGTTGTTGGCAAGAATTAGTGTCCCACAGATTGTTCTCTGAGGGCCTCAGCTCCTCACTGGCTGTTTGGGAACTTTCTCCAAGTTCCTTGTCATGTGGGCCTCTCCACAGGGCGGCTCACAACATGGCAGCTGGCTTTATCACAGTGGGCAAGAGAGAAGAGCCAGAGAGGGAAGACAGAGTCAGCAAGCTGGAAATCACCGTATGTTATAATCCATCTCAGAAGTGACAGCCCTCATTTTTATTACGTTCTATTCCTTAGTCAAAAGTCACCAGGCTGAGCGCACACACCAAGGGAAGGGATCGTACAGGGTGCAAATACCAGAAGGAGGGATCATTGGAGCCATATTGTAAGGTGCCCACTATGGGGTGATATTTGGACAGAGGCACAAATGAAGTGAGGGAGTGAGTCTGGTAAATATCTAGGGAAAGAATCTTCCAAGAAGAACAAGAGCAAAAGCAAAGTCCCTGAGGTTGGAATGGCCCTGGTCTGAATGAGGAGCAGTGAAGAGCCCTCTGTGGCTGGAGCAGCAGAGGGAAAGACTGGTGGTAAGTGAGGTTGAAGAAGGAAGCAGAGATGAGATCATGGTGGCCTTTGCAAGCCATGGGAAGGACTTGGGTTTTATTTCTGAGTGATAAGTAATAGTTTCCCTGGTTTGCATAATGTATTTATCTAACTCTTCGCTGATGAAGATCAATTATAATTTTCTGTTTCTGAAAATGCCACACCCTTACGCGCATGTGTACACACATTTGCACTGGTATTTGTATAGTAGATTTACTTGTAGGTATGTAAGTATGTACATATCTTAATGGAATTTTTATGGATCATGAGGTATGTGCATTTAAAAATGTAGTTACACACATATAGCCAAACTACACTTAAGATTGTCTCTCCCATCAATATTGTGCAAAAAGGAGAACTCTGGCCAACACTAAGTAGTATTAAGCTTTTGAATCTTTGTTAATCTAAAGTGGAAAATGTGACATTTCATTGTGATTTGCCTTTGCCTTTCCTCTCTAAAGAGGATGAACAGTTTTGCGTCTATACGGAGGATGAACCTTTTTGCATCCTTCTGTTCTTCCTCTGCAGAGCCTATTGAGGTCTAAGGGTCCTCTTCTCTGACTGCCCCTGATGGAAGCTGGCCCTGTGGCCCCAGGAGATATCCAACTATCCAAAACTGTTTACCTTTGCTCCCTGGGGCCCCACGACCCACTCTGGCCTCCCCATTGCCGAGCCATTGCTGTCTTTGCCTTAACTCTTCCAAGTGAATATCCTACCCAATATCCAGCTCCCCTACCACCCTCTGCACCAGAGCTCTGAGGTGCTCAGAGCCCCCCACAGGGAACCAGGTGGAGTAATGGTTACAAAAGTATACACTAGACTCTGATCCAGCTCCAGCTCCTATAACTCATTGACCTTCGGCCAAGTGCCCAAACAAAATATGCCTCCATTTATTTCCCTAAACTGAAGTCAGAAATAATAGCTGCCTTTCCAGTAGGCTAGTCTGAGGATTAAATATATGGTTCAGGAAAGACACTAAGTATAAGTATAATACCAGACATTTAGTGGGTGGTCAATAGATGTGAACTGTTACCATCATC